CCCACTTGTTCACTTTCCGAACACGCTCGTGGATATGTGTTCTGCGATGGCGACTTCAGCGCCACCCTTCTGGCCGTTGTGTTCGCCGCATGGCACGCTGTCGATGTTCCTCGATCATGGCTGATCGACTCTCCTGTGCTCGACGTGATAAGCTCCCGCCTACTCTGGCAGTATGGTGTGCCCCGTGAGGTTGTCGGCGCCGCTCTGGTCCTCGTGGCTGCGCCTTCCAGCGGCCGACCTCTGGTGCTTTTTATAAACGGTGCGCCATGGCTGATGCACCGTGGTCGTCACGCCTGCTGCGACGTCCAGCGGCCGCCCTGGTTCCGCACGGCCCGTGCCACGACAGCGGTGGCTGGTGCCCTGTGGGTTGGTGCACCATGGTCGCCAGGTTTGCTGCGATAGCTGGTGGCCACTCAGGTGCCCAATGGTGCGTGTGTGTGCCTATGGTTAGTGCCATGTGCCGCGACAGCTGCCCATTCTGGTGGCCGCCCTGGTACGGCATGACTGATGCATCATGGAGACTGCCCTGTGGCAGTGGCGACTACTGCGATGTTCTGGTGGCCGCCCTGATGACCTATGCATGGTGGCACATGGTTGGTGCCATGTGGTCGTCGCGATTGTTGCGATTTCCTGGCGGCCAACATGATGCAATATGGTTGGTGCCCTCTGGTGATGCTATATGGTCGCCGCGTTTGTTGCGATGTTCCGGTTGCGCCAAATACGTCACCTGTTCTAGCATTCGGTATACGCACGTTGATCCGCACGGCTTGCAGTTCGGGCGTACTAGATTTCGGGCATACTAGAACCTACTGATTGGGGCCCACAAAGGCAACCATGGTGGTGGACGCTCCGACGGCACAGCAGATGATTGAGGTACAGGGCAAGACTACGCGCATCGCACCGGATTGGGATCCGCGGAAAATCGGCCCGACAACCGCAGATGGCCTTTCGACCTTCGCGCAGGACGCCCTGACGCGGGCATCAGGGCGCAGACCCACCAGACACGGAAAGGCGCTGGGGAGGTGCCTGCGGGCAGCCCAGGAAAGGCACTTGGGAGGTGCCTGCGGGCGCCTGGGAAAGGCACAGAGCGCAGAGCCACGTCCAGCCCACCGACGCGTGCACGAGCGCCACAGGCGCCTCGGCGGGCGGGCCGTCGCGCCTCCCGTGGCGTCCTCGCTGTGGCAGCTCCCGTGGCATCCCATTGCTACGGCTTCCTTCGCGGTGTCCCCACAGAGGCAAACGCTGGAGATGATTCAAGCATGGGAGGAGCATTGAGGCAAAGGCAAACGCCAAATCTCCAAGGCTAGAAGCCACATGGTGAAGCTGCAGCTGACGCTGCGACTCGAACGAGCGCTGAAGCGATTAGGTGCCCCGTTCTATCTCGCTATCGCTATGAGTAAGGCTTCCGCCGTGATGTACCGCCGCACCCTGGCTAGCCACGGCAACAGGAATTCAAGCACAACGTGCCAGACTCCTTGCGCACCTGGAAAACACTGTCAGTGCAAGCGCTCCTCGTGAATACCATCGTGGCAAAAGCAACGCAACAGCTAGAAGGCACAGTGCTGAATGCTATAGCGAGCGAAAGCCTAAGAGCAAAAAGCGTAGAGCTGAAGCTTGGGTTCTTCTGGTGATATACAAATTGTGCACTTGCAGTGTGAAACTAACCGCGCAACGCGTATCATGTCGGCCACCCACGATTATCTTGTCGGCCAAACTGCTGGCCTGTTAGGTAAACGTACTTGCCCTGCTCCCAAACAGAATCCGCTCCAACAAACACCACTTCCTTCTTACTTATTACTTCGGCCAGTCCTGTCTCGAACGTGGCCAAGGACTGTAAGCGACTTGGTCGGGATGAACGGGACGCCCTCCTCAAACGCTCCAGCAGGAAGAGGAGCAGCAAGAGCAAAAGCAGCAGGGAGCAGGGGAAGAAGAGAAGCATAAAGCAGAATGTTCAAGGCATCACCGAATGGACTCGCAGCATGGGCTCGCCTAGTTAACCCTACACACCAGATGACCAGATCTAGGAACCGACAGCAGCGTGATTTCTAGAATCCACCACCATGCACCCTGGCACGTTGAGGCGTGGTGGAATGCCAAGTGCTGCCTGGTAGGGTTCTAGAAATTCTAATGATACTGGAGAAAAGCCCAATCATAATCTTTTTAGGGCTGTAGGGCTATAGGGCTATATGGGCTATAGGGCTATTGGGTTGTATGGTAATAGAGCTACAGGGCTATAGGGCTGTAGGGTATAGGGCTATAGGGCTATAGCGTTATAGGGCTATAGGGCGATAAAGATATAGGGCTATAAGGCTATAGGGCTAAAGGGCACCGGGCACCCGGGCACCCGGCACCCGGCACCCGGGCACCCACCCGGCCACCGGGCACCCGTCACCCCGGCACCCGGGCACCCGGCACCCGGCACCCGGGCACCCACCCGGGCACTGGGCACCCGTCAACCCGGACACCCGGCACCCGGGCACCGGGCACCCGGGCCCGGCCACCGAATCGGCGGCGAACCCGGGCACCCGGGCACACGGGCACCCGGGCACCCGGGCCCGGCCACCGAATCGGCGGCACACCTCACCTACCCTTAAATCCGCTAGGACCCCTACAGAGGCAAGCTCTGATTGGGGAAATCCTCTGAGAGACCCCCCCCTCTACCAACGCTCTATAGGCATTCGAGGCTTCTTGGGCTGCCAGGCGGATCCGGGGCGCTCTCCACGGCGTCTAGTGCCCAAGGCGGCTTCCAATACGGCACGAGCAAGCTGCCGAGGCCACCAAGATGTCTCAAGATGCCCCCAAGACGGCCCAAGATGTCCCAAGATGTCTCAAGATGTCCCAAGATGTCTCAAGATGGCCTCAGGACTGCCCAAGACGCTCAAGACGGCCCAAGGGACTCGAAGAGGACCTCCAAACGGGCCCGAAAATTGCAGATTCTTTGATCTTCCAATTGTTTGTATTGATTTACATATTCTCACCTTGTCCGGCGTCTGTGAGCTCAACACGCCCAAGCAGCCCACGAGGGCCTCAAGAGGGCCCCAAGACGGCCAAAGAGGATTCCAAGATGGCTCAAGAGCGGTCCAAGAGGAGCCCAAGACGGCCCAAGGGGGTCCTCGGACGGCAGGTCCCGAAGAAGGCCCCAAGACGACCCACAGATTCCCCCAAGACGAGCTCCGAACGCGCCCCGACAAGAGCGCTCCCAGGTGGCCCCAAGGAACCCCCAAGAGCCACCAGGGCGCCGCCGTGACGCTGCCCAGAGGCCCCAAAAGGCCAACAGGCCCAGCCCCCCGAGGCCTTCGAGAGGCCCGAGGTGTCATGAGTAATGGCCTCCTGTGCCCCCTCGAATAGCCGCCACCCAGAATGCTGCGCTGGCACGATGGTGGGGGTATTGCCAGAGGCAGCTGGATATGGCGACCCCGACTTCTAAAATATGGCGACCTCGGCTCTTCTAGCCTCATGGGTCCACCCCACCCCACCCAGCCATCAACACCACCACATCCAATACCAAAGACCTCGCGTTGGGACAGTCTCGGTCTCCAGTGCTTCCGCACCCGACACCGACCTGTCACCGCAAGCCAAGCGGGCAGAAGGCCCCTGTGACACTCCCGACCCCCATTGCCTCAACGCCCAGCCTTTGCGATCGATATGTGGCCCTCGCTCTGCTGGCAGCGGCACGCAAAGGCTGACAGATGGGCCAACATATTCGCTATGCTGTCTTGCTGGTTCGCTGGCTGGTTGGCTGGCTATCAGACCTGGCGCCGGAGAGACGCGATGACAAGAAAGACTAACTGCTAGGCGGTCTACCTGACACTATCGTTTATCCGATCCCCATCCCCAGCGACGTGGCCTGGGCCCCAATGGCTGATTCACTCCCCTAGATGGGGATATAGGTCGTTCCCTTCGGGTTTCGAGCGGTGCATCTCCAACTGGGGTGGGGGCCTCGAAGGGGATGGGGACGGGGATGGGGATCGGTTAAACGATACCGAGAAACGGCGGCCTACGGGTACCTAAGGGTACCCTAAGGTCGCCGTGTCACAGGACACAAGGCACAGGCCGTGTTACCTTTAGGGTACCTAAGGTACCCTAAATGTAAGCGAGGCAGAAGACACAAGGGTACCCAAGGGTACCCCTGATTTAACAGGGTCGACCTACAAATCAGGGCCGCATGTAGGCGGGCTACCTGACACGGCGACAGGGTGGCGGACGGACTGATGGACTCACTGACCGACGGACTGACCGACCCGCGGCCCGGCACGCACGCACGCACGAAGTGCCCGCCGCTGGACCCACCGAGCTCATCACCCTCATCGAAGGGCTCGCACCGTGCCGTGCCGCACAGTCCAAGTGGATCCACTGGACCGCCCCCTCCCTCCCCCCACCCCGGCGACCAAGCGAGCTCCTCCCTCGTCGAAGGGCTCGCACCGTGCCGTGCCACACAGTCCAAGTGGATCCCCTGGACCGCCCCCGCCCTCCCCCCAGTGAAGGGGCCCACAAGCACACAGATAAATACACACAAATCCCAGGATTCCGCATAGTTTCACTTATTTTCTGAGTTTCTGTCTTCCCCCCACTTCTCATATTTTCGCATATCTTCCTGGGAATCGACGATTGTGTTTGTATGGTTTTCTCCCTCCTGACCCGCCCCGGCCCACGACGCACAACGCGGCACGAAATCACGCAGAAGAAAAGGGTGGAAGTGTGATCAGGCGAAGGATGGCGAGCCTCAGCAGGCTGCAGGAGCAGCATTGGGGACTCGGGGGAGGGAGGGAGGCTTCTTAGAAGGAGGCTGCCTCTTCGAAGGCGCTGGCCCTACATCTACAGACAAGGCCCGCGCCGTCTAAGAAGCGGGGGTGTTTCTAAGAAGCCTTCCCCCCGCCCCCCTCATGCCCCCCTGCGCGTGGCCGAAGGGTGATGACGTGAGGCAGCGGCCTGAACACCAGAGCGTGCATCTCCCCGCCTCTCTGGTCAGCTCAGTCAGGCCTCGCCACAGGTGGCCGTCCTCAGTCGTCACTCCGTGACAAGAGGCCCCCTGCGTCGCAAACTCGTCGGCCGCATCATCGCCCGTCTTCCCCCTCAAAGGGCCGAAGGGAGGAGGATGAGCCTGGTGTCGCGATACGGCCGGGAGAATGAAGAGTCCGAGAGGATCTGATCCCGAAGCATCCGTATGACAACAGGTTTGGGCCGCTGGCCTCTTCGCGAATCATAGGCAACTGCTACCCTTTCTTACAACTCCCAATCCAGGAGGAGGAGGAGGAGGAGGAGGAGGAGGAGGAGGAGAAGGAGGCGGAGGCGGCGAAGGCGGGGGCGGAGGAGGAGTCCGGAAGCAGCCTCCCAGGGCCACCCCGGGGCCCCGAGAGGGTGCACGCGCCAGCCCCGGCGACACGCCGTGCCTCGCGAGCAACGCGAAGTGGGCGCGGCCGGCCCTGGGACCGAAGAACATCCTGCAAGAACATGGGACCCTCCGCGGGCCAAACTGGAGAACATTCGAAGGTGACAGTGTAAGCGCCGTCAACTGCTGTGCGATCAATATAGAAAGCGCGGGCGAGGGACGACTCACTGTACAGCAACAGAAGGACGAGGACTGAGGCCCCAGGCTCAAAGAGGAAATGGGGGCACCTCCCCCAGGGTGCCCTCCCCCAGGATGCACAAGAGCAGCCAACAAGCACGAAGAACACCAGGGCACCCTCCCCGGTGGAGCGACACGACAGCCAAAAGTTCCCAGCCATACACTCTCCCGGCCTCGATAACGGGGCCTGCGCGCCAGCCTGGGGCCCAGGACGGCCCCGGCCCGGGATGGTCGTGTCGAGCTGCTGCCTGCGGAGAGGATTCGGGCTCGCGGCGTACGGTCAAAACCCATACTGAAGATCCAAGGTAAGGATGCAAGACCCTTGGAAGTCCCATTCACGATCTAAAACCCTTGGACGTCAACATTGGCTCAAGATGGGCCGAAGAAGCAGGGATGCAAGGGTAGCCGTGAAAAGCAGCGCAATCTTACTATGGGTTTTGACGGTGTACAGATCTGGTAGTTCTAGCCTCTTTCGAGTTTCGAAGCATAGTGCGAGCTCCAGCCCACGCCAAGGGCAATGGCCTGGAAGCCAACGAACAGGAGTTTTAGCGACAACATTGGGTATCGCACGCTTTCCCCAATCGAAATCTGCCCGCCCCCCGCCCGAATTAGGAGCCAGCCCATGAGAAGGGGCGATGGTCAAGCATACGCCGAAAGAGTTTCTGCGAAGAGGGGGAGGAGGAAGAGCAGGCAATGGTAGGACGACGGCACGCCCCTGGAAGGTATGGAGTGCAACATCGAGCAGCTGGACAGCAATGGCCTCCCCCAGTCCTTTGTGGCCTGCTGGCCAGGGTGCTCGTCCGAGTTCAGGGGCGGAGGGTGCGACAGCAGCATCAGCTCGCACATGCGGCTGTCATCCTCCCCTCCTCCTGCATCCTGCCTGCCCCCCATCACTCCTCATCCCTCCTCGCTCCTCCCCCCATCCCTCTCCCTCCCCCACCTTCCTCATCCCGTTCCTGCTCCAGCTGTTGCTCCAACTACTGCTGCTCCTCATCCTGTCCTCAGCATCGTCACCATCGTCACCGCCATCATCACTATCATTATCCTCGCGGCAACGCTGAAACGGCCCACGTCTGCGCACCACACTGGCCGCAACGGTTGTCGTCGCGACCCTCGCCGCTCGGTCCAAAATGGCCACGCCGCGGGCCACGGTCCAAAAGGCGACGCACCCAAAACCGAGCTATGTGCGCTCTCGGCCGCAAGATTCGTCGTCGCGACGCCACTTCCAGACGAGGCGCACAACCCTCCTCCATCCTCCGAATGGCGCTTTGGCCATGGACCCCATGAGCTTCGCACGGTCGGACTGGGGCCACAAGCTGACGGCTGCTCGCCGACCCACGGCTCAAACACGCAAGGGCCGCAAGACACAGGCGTCGGTGCCCACGGTGCACGGCCCCCCTCTGGGGCCGCAGGCGACACCGACCCGAGGAGGAGGAGGAGGAGGAGGAGGGGGAGGAGGAGGGGGAGGGGCAGGAGGAGGAGGAAAAGGGGGGAGGAAAAGGAGGAGGAGGAGGAGGAGGAGAATCACTGACCAAACTGCCAAGTCTGCTCGGGTTGCACCCCAACTCGCAGCTTGTTAGTAGGGGTTGCCCGGGTTAGGGGTAGCACGCGCGGAGGGCTGCTCGGCTACTGGTTTCGGGGTAGCCCAACGAAGAATTGCGCGCCAAGGCGGGGCGAGGTTGCGGAGCGGGAGAGCGGGGTGGGAATGGGTAGGTCGTACCGAGAGGCGAGTTGGCTGCCCGGGTTGGGGGTAGCACGTGCAGAAGAAGAATTGACTGCCCGGGTTAGGGGTAGCACGCGGAAAGAGTTGCCAATGCATGCCAACGCATACCAAAGCACGCAAACGCATGCCAACGCATGCCAACGCATGCCAACGCATGCCAATTAATGCCAAGGCATGTCGCTGCATGCCAACACATGCCAACACACGCCAA